ACGTGGGAGTCCAGCAACATAGCGATTATGCCAACTGCTGGTCCCCCACCCAGAACCCTTCCTATGTGTCCGGTCACATTACCACTGAACACCTCCTGCCCCAATTTATATGTTTTTTAATTACCAGAGAGAGAGTACACCCCCAGTGGGGTATGGTCATGCTGCAATCCTTTTTCCTGCATTTCTCCTTCCCATCAGGGTTCTGGGTAGGCACGCATATGCTCTTGGCAGGTTTTTCAAGCTGCTAGGCCAGGATCTGAACTGTAGTAGGCCTGTGGGCTCTGGCTCCGTTTTAGAGCCCACCTGCTACACTTCCGAGCTGACCTATACATCCTGACATGTGCGCGTGGCACAGCCAGAGCTAGAACTGTGTGCTAGTCCCGGGTTCTCATCACCCTGCCTGCCTGATGCTCTCCGACCTCCCCGCCGCTGGCTTGACGTCCTCTGTCTGCCATGCCCTGTCCTCCTCCCTGTCTATGGGCTGACAAGTGCTCCAACACGCTCTTTTTCATCGTTGGCTCAGAAACTATCAGACACATTGTTGGTGGATTTTGTTTTTAAGGTTTTTTTTTTTTTAAGATTTATCTGTTAATTTAATTTTGTTATTATTTTAGATATTTTTGCTATAGGGTGCGTGCTCTCACTGGAGAGACAGAGAGACAGAAAGTGAAAAATCACCCCCTAGAGGGGATGGCCACGCACAACCCCTTCTTCTCCATTCTCCTTTGGGCATTTTGGGCATGCATGCACACATGCCTAGAGTGAGTTTGAAGCCACCAGGTCCAGGACTCGAACCGTGGTCGACTATGTGGGAGTCCAATGATGCAACCATTATGCCATCTGCTGTTATTATTTTTAAAATTTAACCGGGGGAGGAGAGGGAAAAAGCAAGCCACTGGGTCTGATGCTCAAACAGTGGCCGGACACGTGGGAGTCCAGTGCCTTAACCACCACGCCACCTCCAGCCCCTCTTTTGGTAGATATTTAAGTATCGATATTTAATTGGAACTTTTTATAGCAAAGCTGAAAGTCATGCAGAATTTCTATTCTTCTTAAGCAAACTCGAACTTCTTGTTGAACGAAGTTCCCCAGAGTCTGTTATTATTTTAGGATTTCCATTCCACCTTTTCTAACATGAAATTAGTTATGGTCATTTCCATAGTCAGTGTTAATTAAGTTAACTCACCTATTTCTTTTTTTAAAAAGATTTATTTAGTTAGTTTTTATTTATTCATTCATTCATTTATTTTAATTTGACCAGAGAGAGACACACAGAGAGAAAGGGAAAGTGAGAAAGCAAGCCACCAGGTCCAGGACTGGAAGCACTGTTGGCCATGTGGGAGTGTCCAGCACCTTAACCACCACGCCACCTGCCGGCCCCATTAACTCTCCTATTTCTGTGCTCACCGTCATTTCTTGAGCTCTCCTTCCCCAGAGGTTGACTCTTCTTCTTGCTAAAGTCCAGGAGGAGGACTCTTAGATGTCATGTCTGAGAATGGCTGCTTTACCCTTTCTCTGGACAGTTTAGCTGGCCATAGGAGTCTAGGACGCCAGTTGTGTTCCCATAGCCCTTAAACATACCCCACAAGCAGTGCGCTCCCTTCCCCTCTGTGGATAACCGAAGTTCTGTCTCTGGTAGCGTTTCAGATTTCCTCGTTCCCCTCGGGTGAGCCGCAGCCTCACAAACTATTTAAATCTGAATTGATGTGTGCTTACCTGAGCAGCATTTTGCGTTTGAAGATTCATATCTATTTCTGGTCTCTGAGAAGTTTCAGGTATCATCCTTGAGAACGTTTTCACATCATTCCTTCTGTTCTGTCCTGGAGAGTCTCGGTCTGCCCTCCCCCTTCCTCCATTGGAGCGTCTCATTTTGATCTGTTCCATCCATTTAGTTGTGTGCTCCACTCTCAGCCATGTCTGCCAGCCCACCTGTCCTCTCACTGTGTGTCCGGACAAGTGTATTTTGTCTGTTGAGGGTTTTTAATTCATTTTTTCTGACACATGATAGAGCGTGTATATGTGCACGAGAGAGTGCGAGTGAGAACGAGAGCGTGTGAGAGAAATGCTCTCCCCAGGGCTGGGATGCTGTGGTCACCTTCCTCCAGTGCTGCCACTTGTCGGGCGTGGTGCTGCAGAGCAGGCCCTGTGACCTGGCCAGGATTCAAACCGCAGTCGCCCTGTGGCTTCCAGCGTGCACCACTATGGCTGGGTCTGTCTGTTGAGTGTTTAATTTCAACAATCCTACTTTTAATCAGGACTTTCAATCGGGTCTCTTGCATGAGCATCTGTTTTTACTTTACTTAAACAAGTTTTAACAATTTATTTTCTTTGATGACCTTACCAGTTTTTTTGTTTTGTTTTGTTTTGTTTTTGTTTTTTTGAGAGGTTTTTGCAATAGGGTGCATGCACTCGCCAGAAAGACAGAGAGAGACAGAAAGCAAGAAATCACCCCCCAGGGGGGATGGCCACACCGCAATCCCTTCTCCTCCACTCTCCTCTTGGGATTTTGGGCACGCACGCACACGTGCCTGGCGTGAGTTTAAGCCACTGAGCCTGGGACTCGAACCACAGTTGACTCCGTAGGAGTCCAGCAACATCGCCATTACGCTAACTGCTAGTTCCAATAACCCTAAACATTAAAAAATACGTATTTATTTAAAACATTTATTACTTCCATGAGCAAGAGAGACAGAGATAGAGAGACAGAGAGACACCACTCCCGACAACCTTGATACCACGATCCACCCCCCTTCTCAGCCAGCCCCAGATGGTCGGCCCTGAATGCCAGGAGTGCTAAGGAGCACACCCAGAAGCACGCCCAGAGCCTTCCTACATGGGTCCAGTGTCACCACCCCTGTGCCACCTTCTGGCCCAGGTGACCCAGACATTCTTATGTAAAAGTCATCTTCATTGGGACCGGCAGATGGCGTCATGGTTCCACCGCTGGACTCCCATGTAGTCCACCACAGTTCAAGTCCTTCACACACACGTCGGGTGCGTGTGTGTGTGTGCATGTGTGTGCACGTGTGCACCCAAGGTCCCAAGAGGAGAATGGAGAAGTGATTGTGGCGTGGCCTTCCCCCTTGGGGGCGATTTTGCTTTCTGTCTCTGTCTCTCTGGCAAGTGCTCATACCCTATATAACAAGTCTTTCTAAAGGAGAGAAAACCATACTCCTACTCTGTTATTCCCGATTCGTCCCGCACGATCTCACACCCCCGTGTCACCGTTCTTGACGGTCTCTATGAGCACTGGCTCTGAGTGTTCGGGCTCAGCTTTGTCGAGTCACCCTGAGCAGAGGTGCCTCTTCAGTCCACTCTCTCCTCCTGGTGGCCCCACTCCAGAACCACGAGACTGCCTGTCAACTCGGAGCCCCTGCTGCCCGGGGGGACATTCGAGTCCCAGGGGTCACGCTCTGAAGCCCTGGCTGGAATGCCTGCCCTAGGCCTGCCCAGAGCTGGGCTCCGCCCCTGCCTCTGTTTAGCGTCTTTTACATTGAGATGGGAATCTTTGTTTTTTATTATGGCTGTATCTTTTAATTTTCTCTTTTTAATGTTTATCTGTCATAGTTATATGGGACAACCTGAAAAATGAACTTCAAATGCCGTCTTTGTTTATGCTTTAAATATTTTCTTTGATTGTGAGTCCATTACAAACAAAAAACCAGCGTGGCTTTTCAGTTTGCTGGAATGTGATGGGTTTGAAGGTTAATTTTAAAAAATAAAACATCATTAAACTGACCCCAGTGTGAGCGTGGCTGACTGGTGCTCCTCACAGTGGTGGAGAGACCAGCTGCGCGCGGCCCACAGACAGTAAATTACGCTCCCTTTTAAAGCTGGAGGGAATAAAATCTCCTTGCAAGATAAACTGTATCCGTTTCTCTCTATTGGAAGCCTCTTTACTAATTGAAGTGAGTTAAATTTTTTTCTTTTTCTAGTTTTTTGCCAGAGTGTGTGCACTTGCCAGGGAGAGAGACAGACAGAGAAAAACAAAGAGAGGGAAAGTGAGGAATGAGCCCTCTCCCAGAGGACATGGCCGTACTGCAATCCCTTCTTCATCCTCTCGGGATTCTGAACTCATGTGCACATGTGCCCGGTGCGATTTTCAAGTCATCAGATCTCGAGCGTGTGAGAGTCCAGTGTCTTAACCACTATGCCAGTGTTTTTTTTTTTTTTTTTAATTAACTTTATTTATTTACTTATTTATTTTAATTTAACCAAAGCGGGATAGAGTGAGAGAGAAAGAGAGAGGAGAGAGAGAGAAGGAAAGTGAGAAAGCAAGCTGCCAGGTCCAATACTCGAACCACAGTCGGCCACATGGGAGTCCAGCACCTGTAACCACCGTGCCACCTGCTGGCCCTGCCAGTGGTTGTTAATTGTTGTTAGTTTTTGATAAATGATATTATCAGGATTATAAAGTCAAGAGGGAAATGCACGAATTATAAGTATGCGGCACGACGCAAGGTCACTCGTGGACACACCCATGTGCCCTCTGTTCTGTCGAGAGCCTTTCTGGGGTCGAGGTTGGGGGCCTTTAGCTCCATCTGATGGGTGGGGAAATGAAAGATGGCAGAGGCTAAGGCATTTTCCCGAAGGTTCCCAGCTAGGAACAGACATGCAGGGCTGGCCGGGTCTGTGAGCCTGCGCTGGGGGAGCAGCTCTGCCACCCCAGTGCAGCTGACAGCGGGGCTGGAAGGCAGGATGTGCCCTGTGACAGCAGAATGAGCCAATGAGCAGGAAGCACTGTGGTCAGAGGGCCCCCGGGGACGAGGGGCGGGGTGGAGCAGGGAGAGGTGGCGGGTCGTGGGGAACCAGTTGTGGGGGCACCGGGTCTGGCACTGGCCTGGCCTCGCCTGTGGTGCCGGGGCAGTCATCTCACCTCCCCAGGCGCTGGGATTTCATATCCAGTATTTCAGAAACCAAAACCTGGAAACCCCCAGTTTTTAAATGTGTATTTCAAAAGATAGATGTTTTTAATCATTTTTATTTTTCATGGTAGAGTGTGTGCGCGTGAGAGAGAGAGCGCTCCACCGGGCCTGGTCAGGCTGTGGCCCCTTCTTCCATCCTCCGGCCTGCCGGACCTTGGGTGCCTGGCGTGTTTCATGCAGAGCAGGCGGCGGACTCGAACTGCGGCCACCGCGTGGGACCCAGCTTCTCCTGGGCAGCGCTTCACCGCTCCACTGCGGAGCTGGCCCACCATCGTCTTATTCAAGGGCATTTTCACACACGTACGTACACACGCACACACGCACGTGGAAGCAAGGGAGCGCAATCTCAGAGTACAGAGACGCCCTGGGAACACCTTCGGCACTACAGGAAACTCTGCAGTGTCCTCGTTTTCCCCCATTGCCTTAGACAGGCTGGCCCTGACGCTGGGCACCCGGAGTGAGCCCTTTCCAGGGCTGGGCGTCTAGGTCTGGCATGGGGGTGTGTGAGCCACAGCGTTTTCTGACCTAGCAAGCTGAAATACAGGGTGTCCAGTTAAATGTGACTGCAGATAAACTAGAATTTTCTTCTAGTGTAAGTATATCCCAAATGTTACGGGGCTATCCTTCTTCCACAGACGGTGTTTATCTGAAGTTCGGAGTTAGCTGGGCCTCCTGCTTTTATCTGGCAGCCCTCATCAAGGGATATTTTAGAGCACCTTGAGGTCTGAGCAGAGCAGGTGAAGGAGACCCGAGGCGATCCGCGTGGGTGCTGACCCTTGACCACGTGTCTGCCGGACTCCGCCTCCCCACGACCCCCAGCCCCTGAGGGTGCGAGCCCACTGCCCGGCACCCCCACCTGCTGCTCTCTGTGTTTATTCATGATTTAACTAGGGGATCGGGGCCGTCCCGGCTCTTGTGGCAAGTGCGGTACCTGGCTTTGCTCTCGGTGGCCGGGCCGCCTGCCCGGGGCCTGCTGCTTTCCAGGCCATCGCAAACCTTTACCGAGCGCAGGTGCACACGGCCCTGCCTCACCCTCCTCCAAGCCGTGCCCGCTCCCCCGCCGTGTCAGAGAGCACTTGTCACTTCACGCTCAGCCTGCTACCGGGCACTTGCTGATTTCATTCCTGGCCTAGGGCTGGCTGGGGCTTGGTGGCTAAGGAGTTCGATCCCCCATGGCCGAAGGACGGTTCAAATCCAGATCCCGTGCTCGAAAAATACATCGGGCCTGCACGTATGCCCCCAATCCAGCAGGATGGAGAGTGGAGAGACGGCATTGTGGCATGGCCGCACCCCTGGGGGTGCTTTCTCCCCTTCCCTCTCCATCTCGTGCGCTCTGTCTGGTGAGCACGTGCCCCTCCTGGTGATGAAAACAGAGTGATTTGCTGGTGTTGCCAACGAGGCTGCTAGAAACACCCTCGTGCAGCCTCTGGGAAGGAGGGTCTGATTATTTCCTCGCGGCAGGGCTCTGGGCAATCGTGTCCCTCCCCACTGGCTCCCCCCTCTACGCGGACAACTCACAGAGTTGATTTCCAGCTGAGCCCGGCCTTTGCACCCCAAGCCACATGCCCCATCACCCACCGCCAGCTCCCCGTGGACAGGTGCACTGAGGCCTCAACAGGACATGCCTGAAACCCAGCCCCTCCCTGTCATGTTCTCACTGCCCGCTGCTCCCGCGAATCCTGGGTCTTCCCCACACCTCGCCTCCCCTCAGCCCCCAGATGCAGCCTGTCCCAGATGCAGGCCACTTGTCTCCGGCATTTCTCTTGAATCTGTTCATGTCTGCCCCGCTCCCCCACCGTGGTCTGGGCCCGCGTTCCCTGGTGCTGGAGCACCAGAGGCTGGGCCCTCCTGTCACCCCACAGACCCTCCAGAGCCGCAGGTTCACATGCACAGTGGCTGCTCGGTCCCAGAACCTTCCCGTAGCTTCCTACTTGCTGGGGTAAAACCCCAAGCCCCGAGGTGTCTGGTGGAGTCCTGGCTCCTCCACTGGCTATCCAGCCCTCCCGCCCCCGGGCTGCCCTCTAGCTCCTGCGGAGACCACAGCCCCTGCGACCACGGGCCCTTTGCATAGGCTGGCCTGTGCCTGCACCCTCTGTCGTCCTGGTTCCTCGTCGCCCTTCCTCCTAGGCTCAGCCCAGTGGCCCTGACTCGGACAGGGGAGGTCCTAGAGCACCCGGTCACGTGCCCTCATCACCGTTGTCACACTGCGTTCTGTGACATGGGCTTATGTATTTGACCAGCACCTGTCTTCCCTACTGAAATATAAGCGCTCTGCTCCCAGGGCTCATGACGGATATATGGAAATAGTCCAGAAATACATGTCGAAGGAGCAAAGAAAAAGTAAAGAACAATTCCTGGGAGAAGGCGCGGATCACGTTAAAGCGCTCGAGATGGGCAGCTATGAAGTGCTCTGTGGGCAGTAGCAGGGCACACTCCCACCCGGCCCGTGACAGTGCCTGCCTGCCACGCCTCACCGGGCACTCGACACCTGCCGGAAGGACCGTCACCCTGAAGCAGGCCGGTGAAGGCTGAGCAGGACTGCAGCCATTTTGGAATGAAGAAAGGCCTCTGATGAGAACCCGACCAAGTGCTGAGTCCTGGGGAGGGCCGTCTGAGGACCGGCCGGTGAGAGACCAGCAGGGGCCTGTGAAGGGGTGGGAGTGTCCCCGGGGGAAGAGGTCGAGTCTGAGTAATCGTGGGAGGAATGAGCTGCACCTGCTTGTATCCTGTCCCTATAAATACGGAGACCACGTTGGGCTTTCTGAGACCGTTGGATGGTGCTTGCCGACTGTCTCCCTGTCTGGCTGCAGAATAAACTCCCTCTCCAGCCTTGGCTCTCGCTCCATTGGCTGTGCGCAGCAGCGGCAGGACTTAGCCAGTAAGGCCCTAACAGGTCCAAGCCCCGGGAGAGCGTGAAAGAGAGGTCATTCTGCAAGACCACAGAGCCACACCAGCGGGGAGCAGCCAAGCTGGGCTGAGGGACAAAGGCGGCCCAGACCGACCTGGCCCACTGCCTCCGGGGCCAGAAGACAGGGCTGACCCCCCTGGCCAGCCCGTCAAAGCCAGGTGTGACCATTCAGCCCCCAAATCCAGGCGGCCGGCTGGGGAAAGGGCTGGAAAGAAGCAGACAGGGGCAGTGGTGCTCAGACGGGTGTGGCCGTGTGCAGAGGTGCACAGGGACCAGCCAATGGCTCTTCCTCTCTTCTCTCCTCCCTGGGCTGGGAAGACTCATAACCGACTGCCAACCGGAACACCTCTTGGGAGCTTCCCCGAGGTAGGCCTCTGCAGAGACGGCGCGGAGGTTCCTGCCTCCCCAAGTCCACGGCCGTGCGGACCCTCCTAACCGGCAGGATATGGGCGTGGAGGGCTGCCAGGTCCACGCCGGACTGGGTGCGCCTCAGCTCCCGTCTCTCTAGCACACCCCTTCCTTGCCGGCTTCGGTGGGGAGTCCTGCGGGCCAGGAGCCCAGTTCCGCTGTGGGGACCAGTCTGTCCGGCCAGGACCACACAGCCGAGAGCTGAGTTCTGGCAGCATCCACGTGGCGTGCAGCTCTCCGCTGTCGCACCGTCAGGTGGAAGCCGCGTCTTGGTGGCCACCTCGACTACAGCAGGCGAGAGACCCTGAGGGGCCCCAGCTAAGCCGCACCGAGTCCCAACCCGTGGAAATGTGTGTCTCCCTGTACTTTTCTTTCCTTTTTAAAATATTTAATTTCATTTGTTATTATCATGATTTTTTTAATTCACCGAGAGAGAAAGGGAAAGTGAGAAAGCAAGCCGCCAGGTCCAGGACACTTGGCAGGCATGCACACTGGTGTTTTTCTTTCTTTTTAAAAGAATTATTTAATTTATTTATTTTAATTTGACTAGAGAGGTGGGGGAGGGGGGAGAGAAAATGAGCAAGCTGCCAGGTCCTGGACTTGAACCGCGGTCGGCCATGTGGGAGTCCAGTGTCCTTAACTACCATGCCACCTGCTGGCCCCTTTCTTTTTTCTTTTAAAGGTTTTTGCCATAGGCGGGTGTGCTCGTCAGAAATACAGAAGGAAAGTGAGAAATCCCCCCCAGCACTAGAGGGGGTGGCCACTGCAGTCCCTTCTCTCCCAGGCTCCTCCTGGGATTTGGGGCACACGCACACGCACCAGGTGTAACTTTCAAGCCGACAGGTCCAGACTCCACCGCGTTCAGCCGTGTGGGAGTCCAGCACCTTAATCACCACGCCACCTGCTGGCCCTGACAGCACCTGTGTTTTCGAACTGCCAAGTCTGGGCTCAAACTGCACAGCCATGTGGGAGCCCCTACCTTAACCACACCACTGCGGGCCCCGGACACATGCTATTTTCAAACTGCACTGTGGTCCTTTGTTCCTCAGGAGAGCAAGGTCACACGCTCCCAGTGCCCTGGCCTCCTCGCGATATGGAGGGCTCAGGGCAGCAGCTCGAGGCTCCAAGCACGCGGGGCCCATGACAAGGCAACTGCACCTCTGCGGCCTGGCTGGTGAAGTCGCTTCGGCCTCCTGTTGGTCAGCATCCAACAAGCCCTTCCGACACAAAGGTTTGGACAGAGGGCCCTCAGCAGAGGAGGTTCAAGGTCACGCTGTGGGAAAGCGTGTGGCCTGCAAGGTCTCTTTTGGGAAAACCCGCTGAGCCAAGGCCACCCCACTCCGCCCGCCCACGGAGTGTGCTGATCGCCCTGCCGAGACTCGGAAGTCCCGCTCGCTGTGGTTTGGGGCTCCCACTGGAGGTCTGGGGTCTGTCATCCGGGGCAGGTTCCTCGGGAGGGACTCTCCAAGTCTGTCCTCTGAGTCACACCGCCAGGTCCGCGTGACAGTGTTTGTCAGTATGGACTGTGTATCGAGGAGGCCCGTCATCTAGGGGGACTGAAGGACTCACTGCCAAGTGACCCCGTAGCTGGCGACGCCGTAGCAACACGTGGCACTCACCTGTCCGGGTGCCGTGTGAACGGCCCGGCCCTGCTGCCAGCCTGAAGCCGAGCTCGCACGATGGCCGCGCCGGCCTCCTGAGGGCTGCACACGGCTGGGCCCGCTACCGCGTTTACTGTGTTACGCTTGTTACCCTTATTGTAGGGAGTTCTCGTTCTGCTTTTGGGAAAAACAACCACATAGAACACGAAGCAGTGCTCCACGGCACGCCAGCAGCGGCCTCGCACGTGTCCACAGCTCCTGACCACGTCATTTTCTCTTCTGCTTCTGGTGCGACAAACGTGGAGGCCAAAGGCACCGTGGAGGCCTGTTAATGTGCGCACGTTTCTTCGTTTGGTTTTGCTTTTGTTGTGGGGTTTTTGTGTTTGTTTTTGTTTTCTTGAGGCAGGGAACTGCCCTCTGCATCCCTAATTTATTTCTTTTTCAATGTGCTATAGGATGTGTGCTTGCCAGAGAGAGGTGTGGGGTTGGCCGCGCTGAGGAATCACCTCAATCAGGGAACCAGCAGTTGGCGTAATGGCTATGTCGCTGGACTCCCACATAGTCGACCGCGGTTCGCGTCCCGGACCCGGTGGCTTAAAACTCATGCCGGGCGTGTGTGCGTGCGTGCCCAAGATCCTGAGAGGAGAATGGAGGAGAAGGGATTATGGCATGACCATCCCCCCGGGGGGGTGATTTCTCGCTTTCTGTCTCTATGTCTCTCTCTGTCTGTCTGGCGAGCGCACGCACCCTACAGTGAAAATCTCTCCAAAAAAAAAAAAGAAATTATCTCCCAGGGAGATGGCCATGCCCCGATCCCTTCTCCTCTATTCTCTCAGCACTTGGGGCACGCACACACACACCCGGCGTGTTTCTCAAGCTGCCGGATCTGGGACTTAAACTGTGCAGTTGACCATGTGGAATCCGCCGCCTTAACCACCATGCCACTGGCTAGCCCACTTTTCTTTTTTGAAATGGATTTATTTACTCAGCCCATGGGAGACAGAGAGGGAGGCAGGGGACAAGGTCCCCCAGGGCCCACACACTGCTCCATCCGCCTCAGCCAGCCCGGGTCATGAACACGCGTGGCCAGTGGTACTGAGAGGCCCTGGACATGAGTCCGGGACTTCCCTGCGGGTCAGCTATGCTGCCACTGCTTTATCACCTGGCCCTCATGTCTCTGTCTTTAACAAACAAAAAGAGGAGAAAAATTTAATGGGGAAAATATTAAGGGTATAAACAGAAAATACTTTTGTACAACTGTCCAACGTGTGTTTTAAGCTGTGTTCTTATAAAGAGTCAAAGAGTAGGGCCCAGCAGATGGCATAATGGTTATTTTGCTGGACTCCCACATTGTGGACCATGGTTCAAGTCCTAGACTGGGTGGCTTACAACTCATGCTGAGCACATGTGCGTACGTGCCCAAAATCCCAGGAGGAGAGGGGATTGCGGTGCGGCCATCCCCCTGGGGGGTGATTTCTCACCTCTATCTCTGTCTCTCTAGCAAGTGCACGTGCCCTATAGCTAAAATCTCTCTTAAAAAATAAATAAAAGGGGCCAGCATTTAGCATAATGGCTATGTTGCTGGACTCCCACGTAGCCAACCGTGGTTCGAGTCCCAGACCCGGTGGCTTAAACTCACGCTGGGTGCATGTGCGTGTGTGCCCAAGATCCCGAGAGGAGAATAGAGGAGAAGGGATTACAGCATGGCCATCCCCCCTGGGGGGTGATTTCTGGCTTTCTGTCTGTCCCTCTCTGTCTGCCTGGCGAGCACACGTGCCCTGTAGCAAAAACCTCTCCCAAAAAAAAATAAAAAATAAAAAATAAAAAATTGGGGACCAGCAGATGGCATAGTGGTTAAAGCACTGGACACTACTCCCACATGGATGACCATGGTTCAAGTCCCAGACTGGTGGCTTTCTCACTTTCCCTCTCTCTCTCTCTGTCTCTCTCTGGTCAAATTAAAAAATAAATGAACAAATTTTTTTAAAAAAAATTCTTTAAAAAAACCCCCACAAAAACAAAAACAAAACATCTTCAGGAAACGGCCAGGAAGACCAGAAGGTGGTGTGGTGGTTAAAGCATTGGACACTCCCACGTGGCTGTCCATGGTTCAAGTCCCGGACCTGGTGGCTGGCTTGCTTTCTCTTCTCATCAAATTAAAATGAATTAATGAATGAATAAAATTAAATAATTTTTAAAAAAAGACAAAAAATAAGTCAAAAGGTGAAAGTTTGAAGTTTATAACATAAAGTTAGAGTAAGCAAAGGCTTATTACTAAAGAATGGAAACTCGTTTTATCCTTTAGTGTGGCCTAAGCAGCGTCTGGACTCTACAGCGGTGGACAGCCACGTCCCGGGCCTTCCCCGAACTCACCGGAACAGCCTCCAGTGCTGCCAGCTCCCTGCATGGGAGGTGCCCCATACACGCCTGCCACTTTTTAATCTGTCATTTGTTTTTAATTTCCTGGAGGGCGTGTGTGCTCACCAGAGTGACAGACAGAAGCAGGGAAGGGGCGAGAGCACCCCCAAGGGTGTGTGGCCACGTGGCCGCCCCTTCTCCATTTCTCCACCTGGCTGGTATTTGGGACATGTGCACGAACATGCCCAGCGTGTTTTCAATCTGCCAGGACTGGGGTTAGAACCACCAGGCCACAGGGCCAGCCCCCGTGGCTTACCTTTCCTACTGTACCTCTGCTGCACCTCTTCTGTGCGCACGCGGACAGGGACACAAGCCTTTCCAGCGCGTTACAGTCCCGGGGCTTTCAGACAGCGTGGTCAGTCGCAGGGTTCTGTACCAGGAGCAGAAAGGCTGCCGAGTACCGGGGCTGGAGCAGGCCACCCCACCGGCTCCGGGAGTAGCTGCGGAGTCTGCAGAGAGGTGCGCTTCCACGCAGCCTGTGTGACCCTCAGAGTCTGCACTTCTCTTTCCATAAAAACAACACCCTGACTTTGCAACTCCTCAGCCCGTTTCCTTCCTCCATAAGCGGCATTTCTCGGAGTCTCATTTTGTCTGTCTTTATCCCACTTAGTGCAAGAAGCGAATTCTTTTCAAATCTTCGGAGCTTCCTATGTGCCAGTTTTAAATCCATTGCATTAGACAAAAACCGCATCCACAAAACTTACAAAAAATTAACAGGCCTTTTTCTGGGAGGTGGGCGAGCGGTTTTAAGTTATAGGAAAGTACACAGGACAGGGAATTCCGGAACCGCCCTCCCCTCCTGCCCGGCTGCCTTGGTAACGGCAGGCGTTAGTGCGATGCCCCTGTTCCGAGGGCCGAGCCGCTGACCCAGGCCAGGGGCCAGTCTGCGCGGCGGCCGCTCTCGCCCCCGGCGGGCGTGGGACAAGTTGTGACGGACGCACCACCAGGCGCCCACCGTCCGGGGGCCCAGACTCGCGGCGCAGGAGAGGGGCGGTGCGCGTCCCGGGACCCGCGTGCCTCCCGACCAATGCCCGGCACTTCCTGGGGCGGCCACGCCGAAGGGCTGAGAGCGGCCGCTGGTGCCCCGCACCCTCCCTCCCGCTCCCCTACCTGGCCAGTCCCCGCTCCTTTCAAACCGTGTTTTGGGACAGCTCACAAAGCCCTGCCTCTGCCCTCTGGAATTAATCACCTTCTCTGTACATTAAAAACAAACCGTTTTATTACGGAAATTTTCTTTAGCGAGACGAGCGGGTTCTGTACAGTTTTCCCGGAACGCACCTTCTCGTCACCGCGCGCACCGCCCGGGTGTAAGGACGCGGGTCCCCGAGCGCACCCCCCGCTCCGGGCGCCACCCGCTCCAGCGCTCCCGGGCCCCC